TGTTTCAATAAAAGCCCTGGCTTATGAAAGGGCGACGTTTTAACCTGACATCTCACAGCCTTCCCAAGGACGCTTTGTTATTGGAAAAGGCTCCGTCCGTGCTGAGGTGGGTCAATGGGAGCCGGGGAAGAAGGTTCTGGCCAGATGTGCACAAAGGGCAGATTGTCACTTTATTGTTAAGGGAGAAGTGTTTGAATGTCACCTGAGGTCTTTGCTTTAGGTCTGTGGTAGCTGCACAAGAGCCAGCATCGTGGCTTCCTCTTGCCTTTAACCGATGTGTGACACCAACTTTGTGCCCTGGGAGGGACCCGCCCGCCACATGCAGGCCGGATGAGCCAGGGGCTCCTGTTTCACAACACGCCTGTTCACGGCACAGTCACAGCGACCGGCGAGTCACAGGAAACAGAAAAGATGCCATTAGGCGCGTTCACCACTTTCTGAAAACCAGCTGCTGGTCTTTCCCTCTTCCCTTTTTTTTTCTTGTTCCTAGCGAAGCTGGAGGTTGGAGGAGACTCTCCCTCAGCACGTTGTGAAGCGCACACCAGGGAGGACAAGCGCCCAGAAGCCCGGTCTGGCCTGTGGGGTTTAGTGCTGACACAAGTGAGAAAATCCATCCGTGACTGCCAGGCCCGCTCAGGGCTGCGCACCCAGCCGGAGGCCCTTGGAGGCGACGTGTGTGGCTCCCTGGGTGCCGTGGGAGGTGCAGGAGACCCCCCTCTGCTTGTGGCACTCGGCTGGCCCACGGTGGCCTGTCTTCGTGGCAGCAGCAGCTCCAATTGCCAGCTCTGCCAGACAGAAACCTCCTTGAAGAATAAATATTTTTAAAACCCTTGATTTAAAAATATATGTCTGTGCTGGGAAGAGTCTGTGCCCCGCCACTTTGGCTGTACAAGAAGGAGGGTCCCAGTGGGCTCCGAGCTCTGAGCTGTGCTGTCTCCGTGTGGACGCGACACAGGCTGCCTTTCCTTCGTGCAGTCACGTTCGGGTCCTGGAGGGACGTGCGTAAACGTGAGAGGGGACTGTTAGGAGCTGAGTCAGCGTCCCCCTTACTAGGTTGTAGTTTAGGAGGCGTGTAGCACACAACGAGCGCGCACTGCGGCGTCACACGACGTAAGTCAGACTGAAGAACGCAGCACAGCGTCCCAGCCCGCCGTCACCCAGGCACCCCGGGCTCGCACCCTCACTTCTTTGCCCAAATGTCAGCTTCAGAAGCCTCTCCCCAGTGACCTTGTAAAAACGCAGTCCCCTCCTCACTGTGTCCTTCCCTGGTGCGTGGCATCTGCTTGCATGAGTGTCTGTTTCCTCCACACCAGCGAGTTTGCTCCGGGAGGGCATCTCCCTGCATTTTCCCTACGTTCTTCCAGGGTCTAGAACGGGCCTGGCCTGTGGTTCATGCAGTGACCTCTGACCTTGGCTTGATTAGTGGGACCCATGAGTCCTCACCAGATATTTGGCCTGAGTCCTTGTTCAGACGGTGCCAAGACCCAGCCCTGAATGGCCCAGGAAGAAGTGGGGGTGCCAGAGGAATGCCCTCCGCGTGCGGGCAGCTCCTGGTGTCTTGTGCAGGGAGGGTGGTCCTGGGGGGCTGCAGGACTGACCAGGAGGGGTGGAGGGTCAGTGGGCAAGAGGGCGGAGGCCCCCAGGACACCCGGAGGGATTGACCTATGTCCTGTGGGTTTGTGTGCGGGGCATCAGCTTCCCCTCCGTGGCTCAGGACTGGACCCCCCTCTCCCACCAGGCGAGGGCTGGGTCTCCAGCTTCACACCCACCCCTACACAGGCTGTTGGAGCCTGAGCCCATGGGGGCTTTGTATGGGGTCCTGTCACACTGCCCTCCGTCTGTGCTTCTGGGTGGGGAGTGGCCGAGGCTGCCCTGACCTGGGCTCATGTGCAGGCTGGGCCTCCTCTGCCTCTGAGGAGTCAGGGAGGGGCCCAGGGCCTCCAGACAGTGGCAGCCAGGCCTGGTGGGGACGGCACAGGTGGAGGGTCCTGGGCCCAGCCCTGGGTCTTCTCTGCACTGTGGTGCAGGCTGCCTCAGACCCCGGGGCCAGCTCGTCACTGTCCCACTCCCGGGATGCTGCCCCTGCAGGACTGAGCCCCTGTCACGGCCCCGTGAGTGTGGACCTTGTGTGCACACACCCCAGTTGCTGGTCAGCAGCAGTGTAGACCGTTGAGGACATGAACGAGCAGGCTGGGTCAGAGAGCCCGGGTGGTGTCCACCAGCTTCCTTGGCCTCTGCACGCAGCAGACTCCACCCCGTGCAGTGTCGCCCAGGCCTGGAGAGGAGCAGCCGTCCTGCATCCGGCCTCACGCGGGGCAAGGGTGCTGAGGCTCCAGGAGGCTGGGGCATGCTGGGGTCTGGCCGCTGGATGGCGTCCGAGCATCCCCACTCCCCCCCCACAGTTCTGTCCCCGTCGCATGCCCTGGTGTG